GCCCGGGACGGCCCTGCTGGCTCGCGATGGCCGCCGTCCACGGCAGCTGTCCCAGTCTTCTCCACACGCCCCAACCCGCACACGCACCCTCACCCCGAATCATCCAACTCTTTTGAAAAGTAACCTCACCTTTCCTTTACTAAAAGTGGAGGCCCCTCCCCTCACCCCTGCACCCCTTCACCCAGTGGAGAGAAACGTTCCCGGGCTGTCCTGTCGGCAGACAGCGATGCCCTGCGTGAGCTCACAGGCGGGGGACGCCGGCCTGGACCCCACTGCATCTCCACGTCCCACCCCCGGGCGGTCAGCGCCTCCTCTCTCTCGCCCGTGGCCCCCTCTGTCACCCGGCCTCACGCCGGGCCCGGCCCCTGCCTCCTCCCTGCCGGGGTCTGCCGCCTGCACCCCAGTTCTGTATGCACAAATAAATAAATCTTTAAAAATAATAATAATAATAAATTTAATAAATAAAATAGATTACTCTCTTTATTGTGTTTGTTAACATAATAAATATATAAACTGAAACAAAGAGTATTGGCCTTAACTTGTATATAACTCATCATTTTTAGGTGGAAATTCTTGCTTCTCTTCAGAAACCAAAGAAAATCTCTTTAAAAGGATCTGATGGAAAGTTCTATATCATGATGTGTAAACCAAAAGATGACCTGAGAAAGGATTGTAGGCTAATGGAATTTAATTCCTTGATCAATAAGGTTTGCAGATAGTTTACTTTTATTTTAGAATTACTATAATTAACATCAATGTAATTTGGGCTTTTCAACATACAAGTAGATCTTTCTTTAAAAAGAGAATAAAATATGCTATTTTTATTTTTACTTAATTTTTTCATTGGTATAAAATATACATAGCAGTTCATTGGCATTAAGTACATTCATGTTATTGTGCAATATCACCATCATCATCTTTAGACCTTTTCTTGTCTGATCAGACTGAAACTCCATTAAAAATAACTGTTCCTATTCCCATTCCTAACTTTCTACTTTCTTTGAATTTAATTACTTGCAATAACTTGTATAAGTACATATATTTGGCCTTTTTTACTTTCTGTTTTCACTTAGAATTATTTCTTTAAGGTTTATCTATTTCATAGCATGTTTCAGAATTTCTTTTCTTCATAAGGCTGAATAATACACCACTGTATGTGAATGCAGCATTTTCTTTATACATGTATTCATCAGTGGACACTGGGTGGCTTCTGTCTTTTGGCTTTTATGAATAATGCTGCTATGAACATAGGTATATAAAGATCTGTTTGAGTGCCTGCTTTCAGTATTTTGGTTATGTCTCTAGAAGGAGAATTACTGGTTTCACTTACAGTTTTAGAAATGAGATTATTATATCGCAAAAATTGTGTAAGGTTATATTTATAAGGAAGGTATTTTCTATTTAATATATAAGTGGTTTGTAATGTACCTTTTCTATCAGGTTTATTTGTGTTTCATGTTTCAGTTCTAAAAACAAATCTTTTTATCAATATACTATTTAAAGATGGTTATTATAGTGCTTGATTTCTATTTCAAATAATAAAGGAGTCTTATTAAAGAATATTATGAATATATTGTTTTAGGCATTTTGAATCATTCCATACCCATGTACGTACATAGCATCTGTTTTTTCCACTGGTAATAATTAAACCATTCCATGGAAAGATAAAACTTTATTATTTGTCTGTAAAGCTTTTGTCCTCTTTACAGTTCCCCTATTACTTTTCACTAATTCCTCTTTTAAGTAAGAAAAGTTAGACCTTAACATAGAAAAGGTATAGTAGCTGATTAATCACATCAGATGATTAAACACAATTTTATAGTTCTGTTTAGCTCAATCAAAATTATTTAAATTTAAACTAATACTTAGTTTAACAAAAATATTTTAAATAGCTTAACCAAAAGTATTTAATTTTAAAATTAAAGCCACATCAAAAACACATTTCAAAGGCAATACAAATTGAAGGATTATTTTTTTATTTAAAATTGTATTTGGAGGCTCTCCCTGGTGACACAAGGGGTTAAAAGTCAGCACTGTGAAGCTATAGGCAGCTGCTACAGTTTGATCCCTGGCCAGGGAACTACCCACATGGCACAACAGATCTCTCCTATCTTGTCTGCTGTTCCCCTCTGCAGTATATTTCACTCAGTCCACCTGTTCTACTCCCCACTCTATCTCTGGCGAATCCTCTCATGCCCTCCACCTCTGGTCTACACCCCAGTTATTGTGTATATAAATAAAATAAAACATTAAAAACAATAAAATTATATTTGATAAATTGGTAACAATTCACTATAAAGTAGGCACTACTATGTTCATATATTGAACACTGAGTTTTTATCTAGTTGGCCAAGCTTTAGTTTATAAATTTATCTTAATTGGTCTGGTTAGTAAGTTATTCAGTGATACTCTTTTGCCATAAAATGAAGAGTATTTAAATATATTGACACAGCATTTGGAAATTTTCAGTTTGTTTCTGTTTTTTAACAGTGCTTAAGAAAAGATGCAGAATCCCGTAGGAGAGAACTTCATATCCGAACATATGCAGTCATTCCACTGAATGATGAATGTGGAATTATTGAGTGGGTTAACAACACTGCTGGCTTGAGACCTATTCTGACCAAACTATATAAGGAGAAAGGTACTTAAAATTAATTCTTATGACACAGACGTACAAGATGGGTATAATAACTACTAATATACATATCAATATATCATTATAATATATCATTGTACTTTTTTAGTGAGATTTCTAAGTTAAATGAATTTTATATACAGTAGCACTTAACTATCTTCTTTTCTTCCTTGTATTTTAATACTTTAGTATCTTCACAAAAGGATTTGAGATAGCTTGCATAAAAGTATATGCAAACTTTTTTCACAGTGTTCTTGATTAGCAGCAATGAAACTACTTTATGTGTATACTAGACTATAGCAAAGAAATATACCCTTGGTAATCAACACTAGCTTGTTTAACTGTCAGAGAAAGAAAAGGAAAGGGAAGACTTGAATGAAACCAAATGTTAGATTGGAGTTAGTCTCTCTCACTGGATAAATCTGGAATAATTTGTGTAACAAAATAATGATAGTGTTAAATTATAACCCATGGAATAAAATAAGTAGACACCAATCCACACTGATATAAACAGACACTTGATTAAATAGAGAAGTAGAAACAGTTTTCCCTTATAATTTAATTGTAATGACTAAATGTAGAAATGATGATAATAGAAAAATCAGTTAACAAATGTCATGATAAAAAATTGTTGGAGGCAATGATTATTAATAGATGCTGTCATCGATAGGAAGTATGATGAGAAACAGGTTATTGACAGAGCCTCAAAATTACCTTCCCTATTCATTAATTACAAAGGAAAAAATATTAACTTTACAGTGGAGAAAAAAATAGAACTAGTCAGGGCTATCAAAATTGAAGGTAGTAAAAGACAAAGACAGAAATATCACAGATGGGAGAAAATTTCCCTATTAAGTAGATGTGACAACTATATAAAATATTGGATCCTGGCCCAAAAAAGTATAATAGAAGGACAACTGGTGAAATTTCAGTAGGATCTGAAGATTGGTTATAATATTAATTTCCTAATTAGGCTAAGTTTTGTTCTATTGTTATAAAAGATATAAACATTTTAAAAAGCTAGCCAAAGAATTTTTGGGAACTTACAATGTAAAATAATTTCAAAATAAAGAATTTTTAAATACATATGATATAATCTTTTAAAATAAATATATTAGGTTTTCAGAATGAAGTAGAAAATAAGTATATACATTGTTATGGCTGCTATAGCTATGTACCACAAACCACAGAAATTTATTCTCACAATTTTGGAGGCTTGGAATGCAAAATCACAGTGTCAGTTGGGCCGTGATATCTTTGAAAGCTCTAAGAAAAAATCTGTTTCCATGCCTTTCTTTCTCCTAGCCGCCTATATTACCAGCAGTCTTTGATATCACTCTTTCTCCTTCCTCATGTAGTATTTTCCACAAGTCTATATGTTTCTAGTTTTTTCTATAAGGACACCAACCATATTTTATTAAGGGCCTACCCTGCTTAACCTGTTTTATGGACAAAGATCCTACTTTCAAATATGGTCACATTACAGGTACAGAGGCATTAGGACTTCAACATTGTTTTTGAGAAATACAATTCAACTCTCATAACAATACTGATAGATTACTAAGTTATAAGTATTTATGCTAAAATATATATATTATTTTATTAATTATTATTAACAAATCTAATTATCTATTTTAGGAGTAATGCCAAAGAGGTTAAATAATTTATCTAAATTTCTGTTGCTAATAGCTACAAAGGTAAAATTTAAACATTTAAATCTGATTTTGAGGAATTTGTTGTTGATTATTTTATTTAGAAACATGAATATTCTTAGAAGTTTCAGGTTGTACTGTTGGATTAAAAAGAAATGTTTACCATCTTGTTGATCTGTACAATATTTGAGGCTAAAAACCTCATCATTGAAGCTTTTCACTAAACCTTTGGATATAAAAAATACTAAACCAAAATGAGTTTAAAAGGCATTTTATAATCTAGAGTCATATCAGCCATCTAATAAGCTCACAAATATATCTGAAGGAAAAGTTCTTCTGTTTCCCCAGATGATTTGCATTTGTGTATAAATAAGATACACTCTGAATTTTATAGGCTAACCTTCATACAGAATAAATTATCTGAGAGTACCATTGTCATTGTCTTAGCAGTGATTCATTATGGACCTATACTACTTACTAATTAAAGGAGTGATCACGATAATTTTAGTTAGGAATACAGTATTTTTTTAAAAATTTATTTATTTATACATACAAGAACTGGGTACAGGCCAGAGTTATGTGTGTGTGTGGGGGGGGTGAGGGTGGTGAGATGATTCACCAGAGACCGAGTGGGGAGCAGAACAGGCATATTGACGAAGTGCACCGTTGAGGGGAGCAGAGTGTAAGACAGGAGAGGCCTGCTGAGCCATGTGTATCACCTCCGGGGCTGGGGATCCAACTGGCACTAAAGCGGCTGCTGCTAACTTGCAGTGCTACATTCTTAATCAACTGCGCCACCAGGACAGCTCTATACAGTTTTATCAAGAATAAAACTGAACTTTTCTTACCTGGCTTAAGTGATTAAGTCACTCTACCTTGCAGGAGTTTATATGACAGGAAAGGAACTTCGCCAGTGTATGCTACCAAAGTCTGCAGCTTTGTCTGAAAAACTAAAAGTATTCCGAGAATTTCTCCTGCCTAGGCATCCTCCAGTTTTCCATGAGTGGTTTCTAAGAACATTTCCTGACCCTACATCATGGTAAGTTACCAGTAATATAATACATAGCTATGGCTAGATCTAAAATATTATTTTAGCTTTGTGTTGCTTTATATGGCACAAGAATATTTGATAGACATTGTGCTTCTTTTAGGTACAGTAGCAGATCAGCATACTGCCGTTCTACAGCAGTTATGTCAATGGTTGGGTATATCCTGGGGCTTGGAGACCGTCATGGTGAAAACATTCTCTTTGATTCTTTGACTGGTGAATGTGTACATGTGGATTTCAACTGTCTCTTCAATAAGGTAAGGGATTGGCTTAGTCTGTTTTAATTATATGTTTTCCCCAATTTCCTTTTCTCTACAACTGTTCTGTCTAAATAGTCACATTGAGTCATCACACTGAGAGTCTGTTGATTAATTTTGATCAATATCTCTTATATTCTAGAATGGGGATCTCAGAAGAATGATATTGTAGAATTAATACTGAATTTGAAGGCTGAATATCAGACTTATTTACTTCTTAGTAAATGAACATGGGCATATGTTAGTTCATTTTACTGAATTTCTGTTTTAAAGAGTCTAGTTTAAAGAGAGTTTCCAAAGCTGGTACTGTATCAGAATCATCTAAAAGTTTTAAAAAATACAAATACCTAGACAATATCCTAAAGAGATTGAGATTCTGTTGGTCCAGAAAGGAGCCTATGAACAAATTAAAGTAGTTAGATTCTAAGGTCCCCTCTAAATTTCCAGTGTTATCCTGGAAGTCAGAACAGTAGTTAACTGGCGGGTTTTTTGTTCCCTTTCTTCAAGCTATCTTCTAGTGCTTTTATATAAAAAAAAAAACAAGAGAGGTCACAAACCCACTTGTAAGCATATGAGATAAACCAATGGTATATGATATAAGAGAAGAATGTAAGAAAACTGATTTAGAACTATGAAAAAACCTTAGGAAAGAGGTTAAGAATAACAGAAAATAAATGAACTGACTTCATTTATTACATTATGTTTTCTGTCTAAGGGATGTGAGCATACAACAATTGGCTGTTTCTCTTTGCTTTCTGAATTGAAGTAAAAAGTCTTTTAAAATGCAGAAAATATAAATATTTTGATGGTACCTTTGCTAAAAGAGTTTTTAGTCATAAAGCTCCAAATTTTTTACATAAAGACTTAAAAATTCTAACATTGTTACTTTTTAATAAAATGCATTTTTTAAAGGGAGAAACCTTTGAAGTTCCAGAAATTGTTCCATTTCGGCTGACTCATAATATGGTTAATGGAATGGGTCCTATGGGAACGGAAGGTCTTTTTCGAAGGGCTTGTGAAGTTACAATGAGGTTGATGCGAGATCAGAGAGAGCCTTTAATGAGGTAATCATCTGTATTTTGTACGTAGTTTAACCTTGAGAGCAGTTTTTGGTTTCTAAGTATGTTTTCTTTATATAGAAGCCATTTTGTATTGATTGAAGTAGATTTTTAAATAATAGCCTTACTAAGCTGTACTTTACAATTCACCACAGCATTATTAATAATAGCCAAGAAATAAAAACAACCAAAGTACTCAAAGATGGATGAATGGATGAAGAAAATGCGCTATATAATTCAATGAAAGATTATTCAGCTGTATACAAAAGGAAATCTTGCCAGTTAAGATAATATATATGGAAGTATCTTGAGGACATTATGCTAAGTAAAATAAGTCTGACAGAGAAAAGACAAACACTGTACAAATCTCTTACATGTGGAATCTAAGAAAAGCAGCATTAACTAGAGTTAGTGATACTGTATTCTGTATTTGAAAGTAACAAAGAACAGATTTTTTTTTAAATGCTCATCACAAGAAAAAGTTGCAAATGTATGATAATGTTAATTAACTGAGATTTATGGTGACAATCATTCTGTAATTCATACAAATATTGAATCATGTTGCTTCAATACCTGATGTAATTTACATGTAAATGTTATTTGTTCCATTTAAGTGCCTTGGCACTTTTTTTGAAAATCAGTTGGCTATATAGTTAGTGTTTGTTTCTAGATTCTCAGTTTTATTCCATTGTTCTCTGTGTCTAATCTTATGCCAGCCACACACTGTCTTGATTACTCTGGTTTGTCTTAAGTTTGGAAATCAGGAGGTGTGAGTTTTCTTTTCTTCTTTTTGAAAAGTGTTTGGCTACTAGGTTCTTTACATTTCCATAAGATTTCTAAGATCATCTTGTCAACTTCTGCAAAAAGTTAGCCTTTTGATAAGAATAGCATTGAATTTATAAATCAATTTAGAGTCTGTTGCCTTCTTAATATTATCTTCTAATCCATAAATATGGGATGTATTCTTTCAACAATTTTTATTGTTTATAGGCTTTGTATTTAACTTTTTAAAACTGTGTGCCTTACTCCCCCAAAAAATGTGTGTTCCTAACTGTTTTACTCCTGTTAATGCTATTTAGGTGATTTTTTCCCCTTAGTTCATTTTTGGATTATACATGCTTGAGTATAGAAATAAAATACATGTATAGATTGATCTTGTTAATGGAAATAAAAATATCAGTGATAGTTAGAAGAGCTTATTAGATAATTAGAGAGGAGTCCAACTCAGGAAACAGTCAAATTCTACTCTGTGAGAACTGCTCTGACAGTTACCAGTTTGAATTTAGTTTATCTATCTTTTACAGAATGGTATATTTTTAGTTGCAGGAAAAGAACAGTGAGTTACTGATCATAAAAATGTAGTTATTCTTGACAGTACTTCTGGGTATCATTGCTGGATTTAATCATTATTTAATTCAACCAAAATGTTTGTCACAAGGTTTGTTTTATTTTGTTTTAATTTGTTTTTTTTTTTAATTTATTTATTTATGCATGCAAAACTGGAGCACAGGCCAGAGGTGCAGAGGCAGTGAGAGGATTCACCAGAGACAGAGTGGGGAACTGAACAGGCAGATTGACAAACTACACTGTGGAAGGAAGCAGCGAATGGGTCAGGAGAGGTCTGCTACATCATGTGGGTCACCTCCCTGGACGAGATTGTACTCATGCTGAAGCAGATATAGCTAGCTTTATAGTGCTGCACCTTAACTCGTTGCACCACCAGGGAAGGCCCTATCACAAGGTTATTAAGAAGACATCTTTCAGGCCCTCCCTGGTGGCGCAGCGGGTTAAAGCACAGCACTAAGAAGCTAAAGCCACTTCGCATGAGTTCGATTCCCGCCTGCCCCGGAGGTGACCACATGGTTTGGCAGACCTCTCCTGACTCGCCTGCTGCTCCTCTCAGCAGTGTACTTCGTCGATCTGCCTGTTCTGCTCCCCACTCCGTCTCTGGTGAAGCCTCTCGCCACCCCTGAGCCTCTGGCCTGTACCCAGTTCTGTGTGCAAAAATAAATAAATCTTTAAAAAAAAAAGATATCTTTCAAATATCTTGTCAAGTTTTAGTCAGGATAAATAAAAACTATTTTTGACAGTGTTAGAAAACCTCAGGGTTGTTTTGATGACAAAGAAACAACTCAGATAATTTCCCTTATGGCTGGCTATAGTAAATCCCTTTTCTGTTCAGTCATATTTGTGATCAAGCCCTAGTTTGGGGGAGTGAAAGTCAGTGTGACATCAAAAGAAAGTGGACAAGTAAAAGGGATAGCTTGAGATCTTTTGTTTTCTAATGGTTTTGAATTTAGCAAAGTTTGGAAGTTCAAAAGAGTTCCTTAGTGGACTTTGAAACCCTAAAGTCAGTTTTGGTCTTATATGTTAAAGAGCAGAATGTTGTATACAGGCTATACTCTTATTAGACATGATTTTAAGTTCTTTCCTATTAATTTTTTAGCTTTACACTAATTATTTGGAGTAGCTAATAAAGGTTTAAAAAATCTGTGGTGTAGACCTTAATGGTAAAATCTAAATTTTTTTAGTAAAATATTTTGGATTCTGGGATGAACCTGGAAATTCCTTGGTTACATCCCTAAATTATGATTTTTGCCCATGGAGCAAATTGAGCAAAGACTATGGCTGTGCCTTCTTCCCTGGTATGACCCTTTCTTGAAAGAGGGCCACAAAAAAATCTTGATTCAGACTAGCCTGCAGGTGAGCACTCCAGAAGCCAGTCAGCCAGTCACACCCCCATCCCAATATACACCACTGCTCGAATTCTGGAAAAGGGCCTACATCAGCCTCTGGGTGAGCTGCCTACCAACTGTAAAAGCACCCAAAGGAGCAACCAAGGATATCCTACCACCACCCAGATCCCAAAAGGTCCCAGCTGCTGAGACCTCAAACCAGTAAATACCTAGAATAGTAAGGGACAAATCCAAACACAACAGAACCCCTTATTGCAACAGATCAAACCCAAATCAAACAATAGTGAGAAAGACAAATACATGCCTTAGGGGAACAACATACCACAAGGAAGAAAATGACACTCCAGAACCAAACCACAAAGACATGAAAGAACTTTTTGTTGATAAGACATAGAATTCAAAATTTACATGGTTAAAAAATTAAAGTTGAAACAATACAAAGAAAACTCAGAAAAGCAAATGAATGCTATGGGAAACACAACCAGAAAGTCAAAATTGAAACCTTAAACAAGAAAAACAGTGGAGTTGCAGTATGTAGAAAGATCAAAGAACTGAAAAATTCTGCAGAAAGCCCAAAAAAATAGAATAACCAAGAGAAGAGCAAATCAGTAACTTCAAACATGAAAAAGAGGATAGAAATAAAATAGAAGATACAAAGAAGGGGAAATGATACAATACTTTGAGAATTATCTGAAAAAAAAAGGGGGGGGGAATATTCAAATAATAGGCATCCCAGGCAAAGGAAAAAGGGAACTGAAAAATTGTTTAAAGAAATAATGGAAGAAAAGTTACCAAACTTGAGGACGGCAATGAAGATAGAAATACATTAAGTTAAAAGAACATAAAACTACCTAAATAGGAAATTTACAGCAAGACATCTAGTAGTAAAACTGCCAAGAGTCCAAGACAAAGAACATATAATGAAGCTGGCAGGGAGGAAAAAGCAGGTAACTATAAAGGAACCCCTATTAAGCTAACATCATACTTCTCTGAAGAAACACTAGGCAAGGGAATGGAGCAACATAGTCAATATACTCCAAGAGAAAACTTGGGACCATGAACAAAGTTCTTTTTCCAGTACAATAAAGAAATAAAGGTCTTCTCAGAGAAGCAAAATCTTAGGAAGTTTGCAACTACTAGCCATCTCTCCTCCCAAGAAATATTAAAAGGAGCCTCAGTATTTAAACCAAAATGAAAAATCACAAAAAAATCAACAATTAAAACAACCACATACACACAAAAAGACAATGGCAGTAGCAGACTCATCTATCAGTAATTATTATAAATGTCAATGAATTGAAGTCAGTAATAAAATTACAGAGTATGTAGTTGAATTAGGAATCATAATCCAACTTTCTGTTGTGCTGCCAGTAAAAAACAAACAAAAATAACAACTAAGTTCCAAAGATAAATGTAGACTGAAATAAAAGGAATGGAAACAATTCTAGAAGCAAATGTCACCCAAAAGAAGGAAATAACATTTATATAAGATATGTAAACTTTCATCTTAAAAAGATAACAAGGATAGACACTATGTAATGATTAACAGAATAATACAAAAAGAAGATATAACACTCATGGATATGTGCTCGCCAAACAATGGAATACCAAAATACATCAGACAGTTAACTACCACCTTAATATAAACACTGGAGAAAATACATATGTGGTTGGAAACTTCATCAGTCCACTCTAAGCAATGGATAGATCAGTTAAACAGATAATAAACTGGGACACAATAACCCTAAAGTATTAAACCACCTGTGACAATTAGTTTCTCATTCTTCACTTGTTCTTCATATAGGGTTAATTTTAGAGAAATTTTAGTTCTACAAAGATAATGCTGTCTTGTTACCATAATATTTGTTTCAATTTTAGTGTCCTGAAGACTTTTCTACATGATCCTCTTGTGGAATGGAGTAAACCTGTGAAAGGGCATTCCAAAGCATCACTTAATGAAACTGGGGAAGTTGTCAATGAAAAGGTTAGAAGAACATACGATTTTATATGCACTGTGTGTTTCTGCAAGTGAGAACTGATTGAAAATAATATTGATGACTGATCATTGAATACTCTGAAACCTAGTTCTCTAATATAACAATGCCATAAGTTTTTTTCCCAGTCATTACTAATGTTAACATTGTTATCATTCTATAAGAAACAGAGTTCAAGATACCTATTTAACCATAGACAATTAAATTCTGATGTATAGATGTATAATGGGAAAAGCTAGTACCCAAATTGCCTAAACTGCAATTACTGAACTTTAAGGTATAGAAATTCACTTCTTAGTAATACTAGTTAAAGCCTCAAAATTTGCAGATAGTTTTTTTTAATAAGTGACAGTGGATTGAGAATTATTTTTCTAATATTCTTATTTTTGCTATTTTTAATGTTCTCTTAAATGAGAGAAATTGTACAATTTCAAAGAGCTCACAGAGTGGTCATTAGCACACACTAACAATCTAAATGTTAGGTATCAAGAGTATTAGTTATTAAAATACTCATCCAGATATTTAAATTCTAAACACTTTCAAAATAGGTTTTTTAATTATTATTTTTTTTTAGAATTGATATGTAGAAGCAATTCCTTGGTATTTCATAGTCCAGGAAAATGTCAAGCAATACATACAGGATCAACATTTGAGATTCAAAATCAGTATCTCAAGTTATCATATTTGCTTAATTTCTCCTCTTTATTAAAGGGGGGGGGATAATGTTCAGTAAAATAATGTCATTTGTTAAGTAAAGGAAAGGCAATAATTCCAGGTGATCAGCATCCACATGTCATCAAATCATTAGTCCTTACAACTTTCAATTTCTTCTTTTTAGGCCAAGACCCATGTTCTTGACATTGACCAACGACTACAAGGTGTAATCAAGACCAGAAATAGAGTAACAGGACTGCCATTATCTATTGAAGGACATGTGCATTACCTTATACAAGAAGCTACTGATGAAAACTTACTATGCCAAATGTACCTTGGCTGGACCCCATATATGTGAAATGAAGTTACTTCAAGGAACATGTTAATAATTTTAAATTAATTAATTTTGTATTAATATGTGGTTGTATACATTCCCAAAGTACATCATAGGTTTATGTTCTCAGAGCAACTGGTATTATTTTACCTTGATTGTTAATAATATTTAAAATAATATATGTTGTTACTAAGAAATAAACTACACTTCTATATACTGTGCATTATAACTGGAGAAATGGAACATCACAAGTTCTTATGTTCTAAAAGTTATGTTTACAAGAAATAAGACTTATTTTTTAGGTTTTTAATTTAAAATTTTGAGGTTTTTTTTCCTTCCTATTCTGTACTGGCTAACATAAGAATTCATTTGAGTTTTTAACTGAATTATCTTGAATTGGATTAAATATTGTGGGCAAGGCAGTGGGCTAGATTTGTGCAGAGCCACCTCCTCTGCCCTTGAAGAATTTACAGCTTAATAAGAGATATAACTAGCACATCAAGTTCACTAACAAACACTTCTTTTGTATGATTGAGTATTTGATAGGGGAAGAAATAAGCCAAGAAGCATGACTATGAAAAGTAGTAACATTATGT